GCCAAGTTAGTCTCTCTTCATAAAAAGCAATTACAATTTGAGGACACTTCATATTTGCTTCTTTTGCCAGTACCAAGTCTGCCTCATCTGAATCTTTCCATTTCATGAGAAACATCAACTCTCCACTGTCTGTGGCACCAATTATTCGTTCAGGATCAAGACCTCTGGCAAAGCCTCTTGGTTTATCAGCAGCATCTCTCTTCTTTGATTTGCTATCATCAGATTCACTGTCAGATAAAGATTTTTTCTTTGTACGATCTTTCTCTTTACCAGCTTTTTGAGAATTAAGAAATGCTTCAATTAACTCTGGACAATCTAAATTTTCTTCTGGTTCCCAAGTATTGTCAGCATCTGTAAATCCCTCCCACTTCAGGAAATATTCCACCTTCCCATTCACTACACGTCGGTCCAGTACTTTTTCCACCACAAATTCTTCAGGCTCTGCCTCTTCAGCTTTTTTACTCTTTCCATTCTGTTTCTTACCCATTTTTTGCAATGTAGTTTTATTGGAGGCCATTTTTTATTGCAGACTTGAAGAGTGCTCCGAGCTGCTCTGGGTTGCGGGCCTGCGGCGTCTCCGGCCCTACTTGCCTCAAGCTCCAGCCACAGCCCACTATGGCTTCTTTTTTAAAAGAAAGAAAAAATTCTGTGGTGGCTACTATTAAATTCTCTAGCCCAGATAATGCAAACTATCTTTTCTTTTGGAAGCTTAAAATCAATGAATTGATCTTACACATGAAAGTGTTGGGGGGGGGAGCTGATTTCCTCTGTAACCATGCTAATGTTTGCTTCCATCCCAGAAAGCAGAGCCATGATGCTTTTTTTTTTCTTTTGAAAGAGATGTTTACTATAGGGCTTTGCGCTCACCAGAAAGACAGAGAGTGACAGAGACAGAAAGCAAGAAATCATCCTTCAAGAGGGATGGTCACTCCACAATGCCTTTTCTTCCATTCTCTTTTTGGGATTTGGGGCACACACGCACATATGCCCAGCGTGAGTTTCAAGTCGCCAGGTCCAGGACTTGAATGATGGTCGACCACACAGGAGTCCAGTACCTTAACCGCTATGCCAACTACTGTCTCCTATGATGCTCTATTCAAAGCCCATTGACTAAAGCAAATTGGTTCAATTCTAGCCTGTGATATGCTGCACAGTATGATAACTGAGAATCCACTTCATGACATTAATAGCCAGCCAAGTTACTATCTACATCTGTAAGATGTGCATGGACTAAATTAATCTGGGGTGTTCTTATTAGTTTTTGTAAGCATAATTAAGTAATAGGTTCAAAAACGTCAAACCTTATGTTCCTCATACATCTCATTTTATATGGAAGTAAAAAGATATTTGCTTTCTGTGAGAAGCCACACTTATAGAAAAAT